ATTCTGCTTTCCATGCTTATCAGTTTTTAATTGAAAATAAATATTAGTTTTTGTCAAATGATTAATGTGCATCTATCAAGATGATGATACACTTTCTTTTAAAAATGTGTTAATGTGATACATTATACATACTAATATTCAAATGTTAAACCAATCTTGTAGTACTCAGATAAACTTCACTTGGTCATGATCCTTTTTCTACACTGTGGAATTCAATTTGCTAAATTTGTCCAGATTTTTTACATTTATTATCATGATAGACATTGGTCTGGTTTTTATTTTCTTCTCAACAACTTTTCCCACTTTTAGTAAGAGAGTAATGTCAGCCTGATACAATGAGTTGGAAATTATTCTTTTCTCTTCAGTATTCTGGAAAAGCTTGATGAGATCTTATTTCTCCCTTAATTGTTTGGTAGAATTCACCAGTAAACTCAGCTGGGCCTAGAGTTTTCTTTGTGGGAAGTCTTTTAACTACTAATTCAATTTCTTTTAAAAATATAGGGCTAAGCCGGGCTCGGTGCTCAGCCTGTAATCCCGCGCCTTTGGGAGGTCGAGGTGAGTGGATTGCTGAGCCCGTGGGTTCGAGACCCACCTGGGCAACTTGGCGAGACCTCATCTCTACAATAAATCAAAAATCAGCCAGGCGTGGTAGCACGTGCCTGTAGTTCCAGCTACTTGGAAGGCAGAAGGATTGCCGGAGCCCAGCAGGTCAAGGCTGCGGTGGCCGGGAGCGGCTACTGCACTCGTCTGGGCGACAGAGTGAAACTGCAACTCAAAAAAAAAAAAAATAGGGCTGTTCAGATGCCTTTAATTCCAGCACAGGTCAGGAGGATTACATGAGCCTAGGAGTTCAAGAGCAGCCTAAGCAACATAGAGAAATCACATCTCTACAAAAAATAAAAAAGATTAGCAGGGTGTAGTAGTATGTGCCTGTAGTTCTAGCTACTAGAGAGGCTGAGGTGGAAGGACTGCCTGAGCCTAGGAGGTTGAGGCTACAAGTAAGCCATGATCATGCCACTGTCTAAGTGACAGAGACCCTGACTCAAAAATATATATTTATATATATATATTATTTATATATATGTATTATATATCATTATTTACCTATGAACTTTGGGGTTTTTTTGAGTAGGAGTCTCACTCTGTCACCCAGGATGAAGTGCAGTGGCATGCTCACGGCCACTGCAGCCTTGACTTGCTGGGCTCAGATGATCCTTCCACCTCAGCCTTCCAAGTAACTGAAACCACAGATGCGCTGCACCATGCCCAGCTAATTTTTTGATTTATTGTAGGGACAAGGTCTTGCCAAGTTGCCCAGATTGATCTCAAACCCCTGGACTCACAATCCTCTCGCCTTCGCCTCCCAAAGTGCTGGGATACAGGCATGAGCCACTGCACCCAACTAGTTTGTGTCTTTAAGGAATTTGTCCATTTCATCAAAGTTGTTGAGCTTATAGAAATACAATTGCTCAGCCGGGCTTGGTGGTTCAGCCTGTAATCTCACACTTTGGGAGGCTGAGGTGAGTGGATTGCCTGAGCCTGCGGGTTTGAGACCCACCCGGGCAACTTGGCGAGACCTCATCTCTACAATAAATCAAGAAATTAGCCGGGCATAGTAGCATGCTTCTGTAGTTCCAGCTGCTTGGAAGGCTGAGGCGGAAGGATCACCGGAGCTCAGCAGGTCAAGGCTGCGGTAGCCGGGAGTGTACCACTGCATTCCAGTCTGGGCAACAGAGTGAGATTCCAACTCAAAAAAAAGAAAGAAAGAAAATTGCTCAGTATATTCCTATAATCCTTATATGTAGACTCTGTAATTATGCAACTTCTTTCCTTTTTGTATTATTAATATGTGTCTTCTTGCTTTTTTTCTGTTAAGCCTGACTAGAGGCTTATCAATTTTATTGATCTTCTCAAAGTACAAGCTTTGGCGGCATTGATTTTTCCTCTCCATTTTCTGTTTTCTATTTCATTGGTTTTGTACTCAATATTTATTACGTACTTTCTTTTGCATACTTTGGATTTAATTTTCTCTTCATTCTCTAGTTTCTTAAGATGGAAACTGAGGTCACTGATTTGAAGCCTTTCTTCTTTTCTAATACAGGCATTTAATACAATAAATGTATGACAATTCTTTTGAGCTATAAATGTATGACTCGTTGGACTTTGAGTAATCTTCTGCTTGAAGTCCTTCTGCTTCCTCACACTCTGCTAAGGTTCCCATGCAGCCTGAGGGTGGACTCTGGAGTTGACTGCTCTGGTAATAACCTTGACTCTGCCACTGAGTAGCTGTTTGTCCTTGCACATGTTATTTAATCACTCTGTACATCAGTTTCTTTGTCTGTAGATAATAATAGTCACAGGCCGGACATGCTAGTTCATGCCTGTAACCATCTTTCTTTGGAAGACTGAGGCAGAGGACTGCTTGAGCCCAGGAGTTTGACACCAGCCTAGGCAACACAGCAAGACCTCATCTCTCCAAAAAAATTTTAAAAATTAGCCAGGCATGGTGCACAGCAGTGAGCTGAGATCATGCCACTGTACTCTGGCCTGAGCAACAAAGAGGAAAGAAGGGAGAGAGGAAGGGAGGGAGGGAGGGAAGGAGGGGAGGGAAGGAAGAAAGAATAGTGGCTACCTGTGTTGGTTAATTACATGTTTCAACTTGGCTGGGCCATGGTTCCCAGATATGTTGTCAAACAATATTCTGGATGTTTCTGTGAGGGTGTTTTGGGGTGAGATTTAGCATTTGAATGGGTAGGCTTTGAGTAAAGTAGATTACCCTTCATAACGTGGGCCTCATCCAATCTGCTGAAGGGATGAATAGAACAAAAGACTGACCTCCCCAGAGCAAGAGGAAATTCTCCACAGATGGCCTTCAGATGTGAACTATGTGTAATGGGATGATTGTTTATGTCCTCCCCTAAATTCATGTGTTGAAACCTAATCACCAGTGAGGTGGTATTAGGTGAGGCCTTTAGGAGGTAATTAGGCCACAAGGGCAAGGTTCTCATAAATGGGATCAGTTCTTATAAAAGGGGCCCCTGAGAGGTGTCTCTCCCCTTTCACCATGTGAAGACACAGCTAGAAGGCACCATCTATGAACTGGAAAGTGGGCCCTTGGCTGACAATGAATCTGCAGGCAACCTGATCTTGATCTTCCCCGGCAGCTAAAAGTAGGAGAAATAAATGTTGTTTATAAGCTGCCCAGTTTATGGTATTTTGTTATAGCAGCCCAAATAGAACTAAGACACAACACACAACTTATATGGTTATCCTTAGGATTAAATGGATTACCACATGCAAAGTACTGAGAGCGATCCTTGCACTCATTAGTTAGTAAATGTTAGTTGCTGTAACTACTACCATCACCACCATTGTCATCATCCTGAATATAACTGCTGTTTTTAGCACCCATTCTCCATGTTGCTGTGAGCTATTGGTCTCCAAGGCCCTCATATTCAGTAGAAACACTGGCACTCACTTGTGGATAGAAAACTACAGCTGGAAAAACCCTTGTTAACAACAAGATGTAAGTAACTGGCCTAACATTAACTAAGAAGGAAACAAGCTCACTAGGTTCCTGAAAGGGAGATAAGGCATTAGGAGGAACAGAAAAGGAAGAAGGCGAAATGACTTGGCTCTTCTTTTGCTGTTCTCTTACCATTTGTCCTACCATACAAAGTCTCTCTGAGGCAGAGGCACATTTGGCAAAGACAAGAGAGCAGTACATCACCCAGGCTTCCTTAAGCTCTGGTGGGCCAGGCTCACAAGCAGTCTTCTAGACTCAGATTCAGGGTGGTGAAAGAGAGACATTGATGGGAAAGAAGCCACTCTGCTTCACCACCTTCAGGTTCAATGTCCTGCTACCCAGTAACTCTTCCCATAAACTTACCCAAGTCTGGGGGAGGGGGGATGGGGGAGAGGAGGGGGAGAGAGAGAAGGCTTTTGCCTATTTATTCAACAAATATTTGCTGAATACTTACCATTTGCCAGGTTTTGAGTAGTACTTGATAATGGACAGGGTATTCACAAAAGTTCTGTAATATTTTAAAATATTAAAAGTTTCACTTAATCAACATACTCCAAATTAATCTTTCTGTATTTTCTCATGAAGACCTTTCCCTAGATCCCAGAATGAAGAAGACACACTGAGCACAGAGCCATAGCCATTTTCCAGCTCACGCAGCACATGAGCAAGCACAGGCTGTAAACTATGGGAGGTTTGGGTATGTGTTACCACTGGCACAGACTCGGGAAAGCGAAAATAATACAGCAGCCATGCTTTTCATCACACAAACCAGAGACAAAGAAAAGCCTACCTGCACTGAGAGTTACTAATTAAGTCCTTGTTCAAACACCAGTGACAGAAGTTGGGAACTAATGAAACAAAAACCAGCTGTAAGAACCACTGGAGGAATAAAAGAGGGGTTAGTCCGTAAGGTTACCAGGAGGAAGTGATGCTTGGAGAACATTTAGTGTCACAGACTTCAACCGTCCACATTTCCACATGTCCCGATTAAAGCAGAGAATGGTTTATGTAGAGCTTTACATTTTACAAAGCGGTTTTACGTTCACCCTCATTTTACAGGTTGGGAAACTGAGGCCCAACATGGTACCGTGGCCGACTCACAGGTTTTCCGATTCCCAAGTCTCCTCCTCTGCATCCCGCTAGCTGATACTGAATGCAACACTGTTTTTAACCGAGATCAAATTTGAGGCGGAAAGGCCTGGACAGCGCTCTGCCTGACCGCCCCACCTACACAGCGCCCCCAGAGAACACCGCCCTTTGACTCAGGCGGCCGCCCAACCCCGAAAACCCGAGGCCGACGGGAGCTGACGTCAGAGGGGCGCCCCCGCCCTTTCTGGTCCTCCACCTTTCCCGACGGGCCCAGCGGCGGAGTTCGGGGCGCCGGACGACAAGAAGCCAGCGGGATTGGGCTGCCCGTGTCACGTGACCCCCGCTACGCGTGGGATTTGGCTCCGAGGAGGCGGAAGTGCCGCGGAGAAAGGGGTAGGGTGGCGGGCTTGGGGGTGGAGCTCGAGGCCAGCCGCTGTCCGGTCCTGCCGGCGATCGGGGTCCAAGTCTCCGGTACCGACGTGTCGCCGAGTGTCCGCCGCCGTTCTGCCGACCCCATCCGCTCGCTCGCCTGGCGGGAGAAGCCGCCCGCGCCGGCGGCCTCGGGGGATGGAAGCGGAGAACACCGGCAGGTAAAGCCGGGCGGAGCGCCGCCCTTCCCCCGCTCCCCCTCCCACTCCCCGCGCCCGTCGGGGCGGGGGAAGGGGCAGCGGCGAGCGCGCGCGCGCAGGGGTCTTTCCACCCGCGGCCCGAGCACAAAGGCCGGGCGCGCGTGCGCAGTGAGGCCCGCTCGGGCCCTCGCCCCGCCGGGCGCGGCCGCCTCAGGCGGTGTCCCGGGCTCCTGGATCCGTCCAAGGTGTCCCCCCCACGACCAGCCGACAGTGTGGTATATTCGGCAGTCTCCGGCGGCTTTTCCTTTCTGGCTGCCGTTCTCGACTGTATTTCCCTTCCCTCTCCATTATCAGCGTGCAAAGAGCTGTAAGGATCGAGTGTCAGACATCGCCAGCTCCAGGGTTTTCATTTTGACATTAGAAGTTTTATTGTGTCTTCCTCCCCAAAGGTTTACTAAAAGCAACCTGAAGCGCCACAGGTTAGATGGTGTGGCTGTGGGAATGTGTATAACGCTGAAGACGTCGATCTGAAAATGGTCTTTCCAGGGGTCCTGGGGACGATCCCGAGACTGTTTTTAAAATGTCCTTTGGGGGAGCAATAGATACGTCAAGAGAAGGTTTGCAAAAGCAGAGATTTAGAGTTTTAAACTGGCAGAAAACTAAACCATAGATACAGTGACAGGTTCTTTAAAATGATGACTTACATTGAAATAAAATACTCTTAGACCCAATGAAGAATTATCCTGACTGTCAGTGGCTCATGGAAGCTGAATATAGACGAGAGAGACTTCTGTGGGCCTGTTCATGTCTGTAAAATAAGGACGTCTCTGAAATCTGGTTTTGACTGCTCTGTGCAGATTCCTGTTAATAGGGAAGGGGCACACTGAAGTAACCCAAATAAGTTGCCTTAGAGTTTAGGACAAGAGACAATTATAGATAAAGAGTAGACTGTATCTTGACTTTGTGGGTCAAATGTTGTAATGAGTTACTCCACTTCTTTCCCAGAAGATTCACCAGAACGTGTGGAAATCTCTCACCCTTGTGATCTTACCTTTAGAGCAGAATTGACACTTGGCCAAAGCCGGCCATCACATTAATTACACATTATAAGATGTTATCCAGTGCCTTGCAGCAAAACGAGGGCTCCAGGACCCTGTCGAGCTCAGAGCTGTGACCTATGTTGTCTTAACTTCATCCAAAGGGCTATAGACCATTTCTAATTTTGGCTTGCAAAGGTTTTGCCCTCTGGAAATATGGAAAATCCTGTGTAATACCCTAAAGATTTTGGTTTTGGAGGTTCTGAAGTGACTCAGACTCCAGGAGATCATCCTTAAAGAGTGGTTCTCTGTCACCTGTGACTTTGTGCTAGTCAAGAAATGGAATTGGTATAATAAATTTACTTTTTATTTTGGAAGATTAATTTCATGTATTCAAAGAAAAAAATCCATAGATATAGACTTTTTTTAAAAAAAGGAAAATAGTTCAAAAGTCTTTGTACTTACAGTCTAATCAACCAGAGAATAAAAAAGGAGGAATTTTTTAAGGGACTAGTGTGTTTCCAGTGACCTCATGCACGAAAAGGACATTTGCCAAAGATGAAATAGGATGCCAAATCAAAAGTGACTGGAGAAGGGTGACATGGATACCAAAAAATACAGACAGGAAAGATGAACCTTCAAAAGAAAGTAGACTTTCTAGAAATGTTAAGACCAGGAAGGGCTGTTTTAGTTAGATGTGGACAACAAGAAGGACAAACAAGTTTTCGGTTTTCTGCCTAGTCCACTGGCGTGGTAGTAATAGATGACAGAAAACATAAGTATTTCTGATTTGGTTATTTCATCTTTTATGTGAAGGAAAATGATTGTCAGGCTGGAAATGCCAGGATGAATGTATATAGGATTTAAAACTCAAGATCAACGAGGGCATTAAGAGGATGCTCTAACAGAAGAGGATGTCTTGACCTGGTTGTGTTGTATTTCAAAGGAGAGGACAGATGACAGCAGTCTTAGAGGATTTGTGGACAAGAGGGTGGGAGCCCAAAGCTGGAAATAAACACATGGGTCCCTATTTCTTCCATGGGTGGAGTCTGCCCTCTATTGACATTGATCCTGAACAAATTTTTACTTATCAGATACTGAACGTTTTAAAAAGAAACAACTGACCTCTCGACTACAATATAAGTTCAGAAAAAAGAAAGCCCTATACTAGACAGTACCAGAGGGATGCTGACAGGAGGTACCTATACTATTATTATAGCAAATTTAAGCATATCTGGCATTGTTTTAAGTGTTTACATAGACTGAGTAACTTAATCCTCATAAGCAATGAATTTAGGTGCTGTTATTCCCATCTTACAGATGTGAAACTGGGACATAAGAGGTTACATAATGTACCTGTGGAGCTAGTAAATGGCAGAGCTGAAACTTGAATCTAAGTGGTCTGCTTTCAAATTCTGCCTCTCTAACTGCTACTGTGCCATACCACTTCTCTTTGAGGGCAGGATGAGGAGGGACTGGTGACAGTCCATTGAAATAAAAAACTGGTTCACTACTGGCAAAATCAAGGCCAGGCTGAAGAGAGGCCTGTACTCATGTGCTAGCTCTGTCCCAAACTTTGTTCCTTTCAACAGCCTGACAGCTTCAGGGTGCTGATGACACACTGATAAAATTTGTAAATGAAGCACTTCTTCCAATGATTTATAGAAAAAATTGATAGATTGTGTCAGATTCTGGATAAATCCCTACTGACTGAATTGGTGAATCATCTTTTGCAATAAGAGGCACAATTCTGTATCCAAGTGCAGAAAAATCAGTGATAAAGTATGTTATGAAGGAGAAGTAATACAAGGGCAGTTTTTACTGATGGCAAACTCAGTATAAATCAGTATAATGTGGGTGCCAGTAAAGCTAATGTAGTGGTGTCTGCAGTTTGTCTCCAGAATGAGGAAGCTGATAGCCCTGCTCAGCTACAGACCGATGAGGCTGGATCCGAAGTATTTTATTTGATTCTGAACACCAAAACATGACCAAACAGTGAAGAAACTTGAAATCATACTATATGATTAATGGTGAATAGTGAATTGGGGATACTCACATATTTTGTATTCACAGTTTCTAGTAGGTTGTGTACATGGTAAATGCACACACTTCAAGACTTAGTAATATCAAATACAGTCTTGTAATAATTAGGGTGGGATTCCATCATAGTTGGCATAACTAGACCCCTTTAGTTGAGCTTTTAGATAATTTAGCATTGATCATTATTTTGTAAGTATTCAGTACTATATATACGTGTTTAAGTGAAGGTCATAAAATATATTTAGAAAATAGCAACTGAAGTTCTTAAAATGGTAAGTAAAATAAGTGAAGATTAAAGTAGTTAGAATCATTAATTTTAGAGAAAACCTTAAAGATTTTGTTTTTAAAATATAGCAAATCCGAATTAACTGGACTTCTTAATCAACACTGTGGAGTCTGGGGAGTGTGTGTGTGTGTGTGTGTGTGTGTAGGTGTTTTCAGGAAGACCATCTGGAAATACACTTGGTCCTCCATGTTTGCAGATTCCAAATCAAGAATTCAACCACCTATGGATCAGACTATTCAGAAAGAAAGAAGATAATAAAAATAGAAATATAACAAAAAATAATACAAATTTTAAAATGCAGGATAACAGCTACTTACATAGCATTTACTTTGTGTTAGGTATTGCAAGTTACCTAGAGATTATTTAGAATATATGAGAAGATGTGCAGAGGTCTTATGCAAACACTATATATTTCACTTTATTTTATTTTATTTTTTTGAGTCAGGGGTCTCACTCTGTCACCCAAGCAGGAGTGCAGTGGACACAGCACACCGCAGCATCAACCTCCTGGGCTCAGGCAATGCTCCCACCTCATTCTTCTGAGTAGCTGGGACTATAGGCACGCACTATTACACCTGAGTAATTTTTTGATTTTTTGTGGAGATGACGTCTTGCTTTGTTACCTAGACTGGTCTCAAACTCCTGGGCACAAGCAGTCCTCCTGCCTCAGCCTCCCAAAGTACTGGGATTACAATACTATACCATTTTCTGTCAGGGGCTTGAGCATCCGTAGATATTGGCATCCATGAAGTGTTCTGGAACCAGTCTCCCCTCACCCCCACCCCATGTACAACAATTCATCAATTTCAGGCAACTAAAAAAGCCAGTCAGTAGGAGGCAGTTGCAAATGGAGGCTAAAAGAGAAAAGGGGGTGAACAGCCAGAAAATGAGAGAGCTGTAGCAAAGAACAGTTGGGACAAGCATAATGACGAGGGAAGAAAAGTGAACAGAGGGAAACAAAAGGGTTTATCATGAGTGTAGGTTTGATGTCAGGGCATTACAGAAAATAAAGTCTTTGGGGGGTATATTCCAAATCTAGACAGAATAGTCCTGTCTCTTGTACCTTCCCCATCTATGTAGAAATCACAGAATCCAACCCTCCTTTTTTTTTTGAAGTTGGAGTCTATATTTTTTGGAGTTGGAGTCTAACTCTGTCGCCCAGGCAGGCTGGAGTACAGTGGCATGCTCACGGCCACCTCAGCCTTGACCTGCTGGGCCCAGGTGATTCTTCCATCTCAACCTTCCAAGTAGCTGGAACTATAGGCATGCACCACCACACCCGGCTAATTTTTTGATTTGTGATAGAGACAGGATCTCACCAAGTTGCCTAGGCTGATTTCAAACTCCTGGGCTCAGGAAATTCTCTTGCCTCCGGCTCCCAAAGTGCTGAGGTTACAGGCATGAGCCTCCGCATCCATCCAACGCTCATTTTCATGGTAAAGGAATAGCACCAGGAGGATGAGGACTTGACCAAGTGCTTGTTGCTGTTCCTCATGGAGTTATTGTTGGAAACACTGCAGAATTCCAAATTACGAAGTGGCAGTTGTCACATACATATACATACAAATAATATATTTAAGGAGTATTTTTACACTGAGGTTGAATAGGTTTATGCTGCTTATAAATTTAGCTATCGTTAGATAATAGAAAAATTATCC